TATTTTAATAATTTTACTATCATTAGAATCAGAAAGACCTACTCTACAATTTTTACTTAATAATTAAAATTAGGTTATTTAATATAATTGTTCATAAAATTAAATATAAAAAAATTTACCATTAGGTTTATATATAATTTTGAAATACTGCCCCTTACCCTTAAATAAAAATCTTTTTTCAAAATCCAGAACTTTAATATAAAAAAAAACCTGTTTCTAGACCTAATAATCTCTGTAAAATTAGCTTAAAAAACCAAGATCAAAAAAATCTTTCAAAATCATGAACTCTAAAAAAAATAAACAGTTCAATAACACATAGAGAAACAAACACAGAACAAAGAATATTTTTATTAATTACTATAAGAACCAGGACTTATAACCTGTTTTAATAATATTAAAACTACTAGATCGACTATAAATAAAAGAATACTTCTGAAAAACTAGAATATCTATTTTTAATATCTAACACCTTATTGATTAGCATTAACAGACATTATTGCAAGATGGGTTAAAATTTATTTGATGAAAGGAGATTCTGTTGCAAAAGCCAAAAATGTAAAGTATTATCAACCTTGTTTATGCAAGACGCAGAAACAGATATAGAAACCTTATTAGCATTAGGCAACTGATTAACTATGCAGTTTATTAAAGGTTTTACCAAAAAGGCATTAAGAAAATGCTAGAATAAAATAAAGTTTCATCTTAAATCTTAGACCAAGCAAAAATAATGCAATAAGAAAGGTGCTCTGAAATCTATATGTGATATTATACTGTATATCAGAGTGAGTGAAATGCATTTTCACCAATGGTTGAATACAATGAAGATCATTGAAAAATGCATGAACGAACGTAGATATATAATATCATGTCATTTTATCCAAAACTCATTAATCATACAAGATGAATTTTCTTCCAAACCACAATCTTAATCTATTTATATTCAAAAAATAATAATAATAAAGCTCTATTAACAGCCTAAGGAAGAGAAGTCAATCAAGTAAGAGGTATATACAGACAAAAAAAACACCAACTTAATAGCATGATGCAACATTGCCTGAAACTGCATTAATAAGAATGTAATTATATATCGTTGTTCGTTCCAATGATCATTGTATTCGACCATTGGTGAAAATTTCTATTACAGTAAAAATTTAATTGTATGATTTAAAGCCCGATCTGCATCATTGCTTTTCCCTTGGCGGCACTCATTTGATTTACTATATCCTCCTCCAATAAGCGAAATTTTATCAATTTAATCTTCAAACTATAACTTAACGACGAAAATATGACATTAGCCTAGAAACAATTAGTATGTGCATAACGTTAGTAAAATTTTAACGCTAAATGATCTGGGACAATTTATTAATGCTGGCTTGTGAGCTGTTCGCAATTTCATCCTTTTTAATTCACGGGGCCCAATCTTTTTGTTTGTAAAAAAAGGCCCACTCTTTATTAGGGTTAGAGGGTTAAATCACATCAGTGATGGCAAAATGACAAATAAATGACAGAATATTTTTGTTACGACAAAAAGTGCTATTTTTATAACATTCAACTCAATAATTTTGTCAAATTGCCATCACTGTTAATCAAAACGGATGCGTTTGCGAACTGTACCGGTGAACCGTACGACAAATAGCAAGTTTAGGACAAAATCCCGAAACTTAATTATCGCGCCGCGTGATGTCGGGATCCAATATTCGAACTCCACTTATGGTTAGTAATAATGATTACTAATCATAAGTGAGGCTTGAATATTGGATCCCCGACATCACGCGGCGCGATAATTAAGTTTCGGGATTTTGACCCAAAATCTGTTACGATTACGGCAAAAACCTAAATGTTGTATGAATCTCAAATGCCATATGAATCCCAAATGCTGTATGAATTCAAAACACCTATCGAAAATATATACGTGATATCTAGCAAGTAATTAATCAATCGTCAGATAGCGACTTGCTCCAGGTGTCAATCAGTCTGGGTTAGGGTAAAGATAAGATGTAATTTAGGTCAATTACTGAATTAATGACGATAAGTTAATGTTAGCCAAAGCATTTACCTGAGGTAAGTCAACATCTGAGGCACAACAAATATAAACTAGGATAAAAATAATTCTGTTTTAACTTCCCAATGAGGACTAATAATCGGTAAGTTATTATTTTGATAACCCTTAAGTGGCGCGACTACGTAGGTGATTTGCATCATAACAAGTTATGGCAAGTTACGGCAAGTTACTATGTACAAAATTGAAATACGGAATATATAATTATGTTAGCATATATGCGTCAGTTATAGCATGACATAATTTAAAGTCGTTATAACTAGTTATAACTCAGTTACGGTACGACCCATCCCAATACTTCAAGTTCCGTCTGCATTACTAATGCCGGCCCAGCCGACCAAGAATTTTGGGAATCATTGCTTTTTTAGTATACACTCCCGATTTTTAATGCCCTACTTACCGGTTATCAACTTAATTTTAATCATTTTTCTTTGATCAGTTTGTATTTTCCGTTCTTGTTGTTTTGTTTTGTTAATAAAAAGCAGAGTTTCGATACTAATCACTTAACAGACTAGAAAAACATTGTATCTTAAGAATATGTCAAGTGAACCTAAATCCGTAGAAACAAAGAAAGAATGGGTAAGCATCATTTAAATAGTTGTCTATTTTTTTAATATGCTTATTTGAGTTTGGTAGATATACTGAGTTAAATGAACAGATGCGTCCTTTTTTGGATCTTTTTTTTAAAACTGTTAAGTTTACGTTATGAAAACAAAATTTAAACAAATACGATTAATAAATTTTTGATTTTTTCATAAGAATGATGATCCAAAAAAAGTCGTTGATCAAAAGGAACCGACTAGACAATCTATTCAATTACCATCGAAACCTTATTGGGTAGATAAAATCCCTGACGAAGAAGAAAGCGTAAGCGAGCTAATTCCGATATTTAAACTTTTTGTTTCGATCAATGCTTATTAAATTGAACATTCTTATTTTAGGATAAATTAGATAATTTAAACAGTTCCTCTAGTTTTTCTAAATGCGATTCCAATGGTTTCGATTGGTCGCGTATTTCAACAAACCATGATTGTGACAATGTAAGTTTGGATTTATTGTTTAGAATTTCCCGTGACAAAAATGCCAATAACAATAGAATTATGCTTTTTATTGATATAACAAATAAAGAAACATGTACACTTTGACAGCAATATCAACACAACTGATAGAATCCCAAAAATTGGCCCAAGTATGCACCGTTCATCCCTTTCACAAAGCTATAGAGACACAAATTTGGTAAACAATTATTTGACACCTCCGTTCACTTACAAGACAAATTTTCGCTGCGCTGATCATTATCAAAGAGTCAGTCGTCCACGTTCATTCTATCCCAGTAAAAGTATGCTCGGAAATTCACGAATCAGGCATAAAATTAGCTACCCTTATGACAAAATGTTAACACCATCTTCACCCCGACATTTTCAAATCAATAATCAAATCAGTACAATCTCTTCCATTTCACCTCCTTCATTGACAATAACTGACATAAAACATAATCCCGATAATGGTTGTAAATCAGCCGCAAATACTTTATCAAAATTTATACAAGCCATTGGATCATTAATTATAGAAGCTACTAAAAATTTTCTTGCTGCACCTATAGTAATTCAATATTTTGCTGACGGTGCGGATCCAATTTTTTATCAGGGAGCCACTGCTTTTGATGCAAAAAAAATTGGATACTCTCAGAATGGGTTTTATATGTTACGTGAATTTCATCAAGAAGTCGAAGAATATCTTAAAAAAGAGTTTCCTACCTCCCAAGTTGAAAGTAATGGCAATGATAAGAAGTGGTCCGTTTCTATTAGTAATTTTATTGATACAAAACAAGTCCGTAGACATCTCAGCTTGAAAAAAAACGAATGATTAGAGGCAAAAATTTGTACATCGCTCTAGTGTGTAGTAATAATTGCTTGTTTCCATTGTACATTGTTGAAATACATAAGTGCGGATTTTATATCAATCTTTGTGGTATATATATCTATATATATATATTTGTTGTATAATTTGCATTGCATTTTTATAATGCAAGTATTTAACGCGTTGCTGTAAGTTTACAATTTGGGTTTATTGTGTTACTTAAATCTACGCCCATGTTGAAATTAACTATATATATACCTGAATCCAAATTGATTTAGCAACGTTAATTCCGTTATTCACTTCTGTGTGCATTATAATTTGTTATCTTTATGTATATTTATTATAAACGATGATACGTTTCTAAGCTTTTAATAACCCATAAAACTGTATATATACTAATATCTTTAGGTAATGTATGAATAACCATTAAATGGAAAAATGAGTTCAACCAAATTTTATAACAAGCTAGAAATTGTAAGCGTATATTTCATTATCGTTATTTATTAAGCATAATAAAAGGATCTATATAGTTGTAATTGTTTTTTTACTATCAGCCCATGTATAGTGGGCAGGATTGGCATATTTGTCCATTGGCATGAATGGACCTCAGATCCATTGACCAGATCCATTGGTTCCATTGGAAAATTATGGATCAATGGACAAATAGATTAAATAAAGTATAGCTTTTATAGATATCTTTATTGTTATTAATTATAAAGAAATAGACGTACAGTTAATGAAATGCCGTGAACGAAGTCACAGGGCAGTCATTTGTCACGAGATCAGTAACTCGATCAATGAGGTAATTCAAAGGTAATGGAGTAATGTGTATGTAAGTAGTTAGAGAAATGGAATGATGTCATGTCATTTGGGTAAGTATGAAGTCACAAATGAAAGGTATATAAAGGAGTTAGTAAGAGAATTTGGAAACATCTTTTTTCTTTGCTGCAAGCTCGACGCAAGTCTAGCTCGTCGTTACCCTCCCACCTACTCGAAAGGGCAAGTTAGGCAGGTAGGAGCTTTGTAGCCCAGCTGGACAAGCTGGATACAAAACGGTACTGGGTGGCCTGAGTAAGCAATCTGGCTTTCACATCGCTGAATAGGAATATAAGTAATCGCGGGATGAATATAAAAGAATAATAGAATAGGAGCGATTCTAAAAACAGCTGGTGATCACGTGATGCAGCGAGGGAATCCCATTTGTAGTAATGTTTTCAGTTTTGAGATCGAGTGACAAATTAATTAAGTAAAATTAAAATTTAACCTGTATTCAAGTAATATTTTATATTTTGCAAAACCCAATTTAAGTTTATAATTTTTAAACAGATTATAAGACTAATACTTAATGTTTTGAATTACTTTACAGTTTATAATAATAGTAATACAAATAATTTGTTTATTAATTACTGATAGGCTAGAAAGATTTATTTAAAAATTTTACATGTATTTTGATCCAATAATATCGTATAATAACAAAATACTTAAAAAAAAGATAAAATAAAAAAATATAATAATATAAATTTATATTACTATTTTTATTTAATATTTACTTAAGAATATAATTATAACAATAATATTAGAAGATAGTTTTTACAAATCAGAAATGAATAGTGGAGTTAGAATATTATTTTTAAATAATGGTTTTAATTTCTAGTTAGCATTATTACTAACAACTGAATAGTCTAAATAATTAATATTTTGCTTTGATTTAACATTATTTATATTATTATTAACATCAAATTGATTTAATTGCTCATCTTCTTCAAACATCATATCTATCTATTGATGCATTATTTTATTCCATAGATTTATCATTATCATCATTATCATCATCATCATCATCTATTTTATTATCTGAATTTTCTGTTTTATCTAAATTCTTATTAAAAACTAATATATTATTATTATATAAATCTGTATTTTTATCAAGTGTTATTAAAGGTAGTGTTAATTTTTTTTTAATTAATATTTCAACCTCTTTAAGACAATAATAATAATTTATAGTAGCACAAAGTTAACTTATTTGAAACACTTTTTCAGACTATAAAAAAATTTAATAAATTTTAAAATATTAATATTATAATGTTTTTTAAATTACTATAATTCTATATCTTATTAGAAATTAAAATATAAAAAAATATTAATTTATAATTAGTTAATAATTATTTAATTAATTTTTTATTCAATCATATACATATTAGATTTTTTTAAATTTTTAATTTCTAGTATATTATATAAAATTTGCTAATTATAATAATTTAAAAAATATTATAAAATATTACAATAATTTAACTAATCTTTAAATAAGATTATGTTTATTATGCAACCAACTTATATATAAAAAAAATCTTTTAACAGAAGCAGAATTAATGCAAATTTTAAAAATAGAATATACAATTTTATTTAATTCTTTTGCTAAAGTATTACAATATTTCCAATATCTTATAATATTATTAGCAAACTGATTTGTAATAAATATTATAAATAAGTTTTCTTTTTTATAATATTTTTTAAGCTCTGACAAAAAAGTAAGTAGTTTATTATTAAACTAATTATATTAATAATATATAAGTTAATTACTAAATTAAAAATATAGTTAATCATTTGTAAGTTTAATATTTTTTTTTTATTTTTGCTAAGGCTATTAGTTATCAGCAACTACTGCCTTTATTGTAATTTAATTATGATTATATAATTTGTACAAAATAACCTCTATACTATACCTAACAGATAACTACACAAGTTCTTATATATTAAAGTGCTGTCTAACTCAACTTTAACTTCTCTGTCTGTATATCTATTAAATTATTATATATTTAGAGTATGTTATCTGACTGTAGAGCTTCAGAAGGCTTCTCTGCTAACTAATTATTCATATTTAATCTTTGTTAACAGAGGTTGTTCTTGCAAATTTTATTTAAACTCTAGTATTAACTTCATAGCATATTCCTAATATTTAAGTTATATTCTGCTTTAGTCCTTAAACTCTTAATTCAATTAATTTGAAAAAACTGTAACTTGTTTCTGATATTCTAAAGACTGCCTTTCAAGATTTTTTTATTCTGGTTTAAGACTTTTGGTAGTTTGTTTAATAGTACCTTTTATTTAAAATTCTTGTTTGCTTAATTTTTTTCACATTAATATTTATTTTTTAGATTTAGTTTTTATAGTAATACTGTTAAAGATCTATACTACCTTTTTGCTTAAGTCTTCTCAAGTGAACTTCAGCTTTCCAGTTCTATAGATTTACATAGTCACAGGAACTTATCTTATATTTGTACTATCTAATGCTAGTTTGCATTTCTCTGTATAACTTTAACATTGCACAGATGTCTTATAACCTGCTAGTCATACTAGTGCAATCATAATTATAAGTATCTCATCTTAACTGATTGACAAAATGTTATTATTGTAATACTGTCTATATATTGTATAAGTAATTATTCAAATTTTTGTTATTGGTGAGTTTTGAACTTTTAACTTACTACTTGAAAGGTTAACAACTTATCTATTTCACTAAATCATCATATCTCTTGTAAGTTTAATATTAATATTTCATATTTAGAATTAAAAAAAAATAAAATAAATAATTATGATTGTTTTTAAGAATTTTATCAATACTTTAAATAATCAACTATATAAGTAGCAAATTCTTTATTTAAATAGTTATTATATAATTTTATTAGATAAAATATACAATAAAGAACTTTATATAAATATGCTTTATTATATTGTAACTTATTAAGATATATGTAATAAAAAAAGAAGTTAAGAAAACTTTTATAATTATAATCACTAATTCTTATTATTAATAATTATATATATATATATATATATATTTTTTAAATCTTTGGCAGCCTTGCCGATCACCTTTATTAAGAGTCTTATATATATAATTTGTACAAAGTTGGCTTAAATTCTGGCTCGACATCCCTCGGCTGCTTCTATGAGTGCCCAGGAGCGGTCTGCCACACTGGCTAGACAGTGGTCTGGCCAGAGGGCTATACCAAGCTAGCTGTTAAAACTATAAAAAAATGGTCTTATTTTCCTTTCTATATAATTCCTAACCAAACCAAACCAAGAACTTTGTATTTTTTCTTCTTCTTCTTTTTTCTTTTCTTTTATAGCTCAGCCTTGGTCCTTCTCTAAACCTCTATTATCCACCCCCTTTATCACATTTTTAACTGTATCTCTTCTTGGATTGTTATCTTTCTTTTTCTTGTCTGCAGAGCTAATTTCAATTGTCTTTTCTCATTTAGTACTGCTTCACAGTGTTTTTTCTATATGTTTTCAAAAAAGCCATTCCATGATATATTTGTCCATATTGTTATAAACTCTTTAGCTTCTTTGAGAGTTTGGGTAAGACTTTGTATTGTTATTTTCATTTCTTCTTGAACTAGCCCTTTCATGCTTTTAGATCTACATTCTTTTTTCCCTTCTGCTGAATCACCTTATAAGATTTTTATTAGTTCTAATTTGCTTGTTTTCTTCTGAGTTTCTTCTGAGAGAACTGTCCAAGCCAAATTAATAGCTAAGTTTTCTGTAATAGCCTAACCATTTTCATGACCTTTACATGTAGCTAAGTGTTCTTGGTCTTCTTCTTGGTCTTCATTACAGAGAATGCAATATGGCATTTTGTATATATTAGGGCATCTTTTTGCTAGAGTTTTTAGTACTAGTAGTTTTTTGTTAATGCATTTAATTAGAGTCACAATTTCTCTATTCTTTTTCATACTCGTACATCTAACTCCACTATGACTTCTAAATTTTTTCCATAGTAGTGACTAGTCGTATTCTTCTTTTCTTTCGTTTGGTTTTAATTTTTGAACAGTTGATGTAAATTGCCATTTTGAGCCAACTTTAAAATCTAAAATATCTTTAACAAATTGTCTTGTTGGCCCTTCTACAATTGTTTCATTCCAGCAAA